TTTGAAGAAGTGTTCAGAATTCAGAGTTTTTAATTAATTGAAGAGAAAGATTCAGAAATATATATATATAAAGTAATTATTCACAGAAGTTATTAGATAAGAGTTATAAAATCAGAGTACTAATATATAATCATTTTTATATGATTTTCTTCAAATTAGAAAGTTAGTATTATTAAAAATCATTATCTAGTAGAGTAACTTATTAGCTTAGTAGTAATTTTCTGATTATTTTTCTTTTATTATCTGTATTCTGATGACTTCAAATGTTAGAAAATTTTATCAGAGTTATGATTAGTTTATAATAAATGTTTCTGAATAAAGTTACAGTGATTACAGTAGAGAGATGACTCTTCAGTAATCTATAATATAATATATTAATAATTATTTCATAGTTCATCTCAATGTTTATATTGAGTTTTTTATAAATTTTATGACCTGAAATCAGATGTGAAGAATGAAGTAGTTATTTATTATAATTGAAAGAGAGTATTCTGTGTTAAATTGTAAATAATATAGACTTTGTAATTCACAGTGATTTCTTGAAGAGTTTGTGAATCTTTAATAAAAGTGAAAGAAGTGAAAGAAGTGAATTTAGAAGATATAATAAAGATTTAAGAAAGATAATAATTTATTTTTAATAAAGATAATAACTAATCACTGATATATATAAGAAGAATTATTATAAGAGAAAATAATCTTCTATCTTAACTTAGTTATAATTTTAGTACTAACTCAGATTGAATATTATCAATATATAAAAGTAAATAAACAATCTTGATTAATCTCTATCATATTTCTTGAAATATATTAATATTGTGAAAGAGAGTGTTATTAAATTGTATTATCAGATGATATTATTAAAAATATATTAATATTGTGAATATCAATATTGAAAAAATATTGATACTTATACATTATAGTGATTTATGAATCATGATAGTTAAATATATATATATATATATATTATTCCTGACTTGATTATAACTTGTATAATAATTTTTAAAAACTCAAAATTAATTTCAATTATTAATAATTATGAACTTATAACTAATTAATATAAAAAGAAAAAAACTTTTTCTACTTATTATCTTTCTTCTCTTTCTCATTCTTCTTATTATTCTTGATAATTCACTTCTTATTCTTCTTCTTCTTCTTCTTCTTCTTATCTGAGATGATAATTATCTCAAAATCTCTCTTTACTATCTTCTCAGAGAAGAGTTCTCACTGCTTTCTCTCAGTCAGATCAATCTGTGTCTCAAAATCCTGTATTTTCTGATCTACTGTCTCAGGTTTCATCTCAGTAATAAGCAGATTGACATGCTCAGAGAGCAGAGCTGTCTTCTTAATATTCTGAATCATGAAGTATATTCAAGATCTGAATAAGATCTCAATTCTCTTCTTCTCTGTCAGCTTCTACTAATCAATTAGAGAATAGAAGTATTATCAAAAATTGTTACTTTTTAATAAATAAAAAACTTATCAGTTTTGACTTCTTTATCTTCTACTTTAATATCTTCTTAATCTTTTTCTATCTCTGCTTATTTACAGTAATACTCTTCTTCTCTCTCTCTCTCTTTATCTTAGTTTTAAATCATTCTCAGAACTTCTTCTGATCTCACTGCTACTATATAAGACTCTTCACTATTATCTTCTTCAATCTCTTATAGATGATGTTATCTGTATTATTTCTATACTTAGTTCAGTCTAAATCTATCAGAAGTGTTGCTTAAAATCATTATTATTCTACTCTCTTATAGAGTCTCTTTAAGACATTATAATATATCTTATAATCTGTCTTCTCTTATTTAAACATCTTCTTCTTCTCTCTCTTTAATCTGTGACAGTGCTCACACGCCTTGATAATTCACAGAATTACAGAATATTTGAAGAGAGATAATATAATTAGTTTCAGTGAGTGTTAAAGAGAGATGAAGACAGAAGAGACAGTCAGAAATAATATAATAATAATAATGATAATAATAATGATAATGATAATAATGATAATAATAGTGATAATAATAATAATGATGATAATAATAATAATAATAATAATAATGATAATGAAAGAAAGAGTATTGAAATATATTACTGACTTATCAAATATAAAGAGACTTAAAGAAAATATTAACAGCTTTCAGAGATGTATAGAAATAGCTACAGTGTTGCATAGCAACATCATCTTCATTTAATACATACACTGTTAATATTTTTTGTATACAGTTATTATATAATCTGTATCAGAGATACATGCAGAAAACAGATCTTTATTACTAGAATATATACAGAAAACAGATCTTTATTACTAGAGATAATAATTACAGTAATTCTTATTTCTTTCTTCTCTCTTTTCTCTTCTTCTTCAACTCATCACTAAGTTCAAGCTGATATGAAAACTATTAAAACACTCTTAGAAACTCTTAAATTAAAGAGTATAAACTAATTAAATTTTAAATATAGAAGAATTAAATTATATTCAATATTACTAATTATTTATTTTCTCTTAATAAAATCACAGTCATATCTTTCTCTTTCTCTCTTAAATAAAACATGATCTGTGAAAAGTGAGTATTATATCAGACTATAATAATTAATACAGTCTCAGTATACAGAGCTGTATACACACAGTGTATATTAAACTGAGAGACTATATGAGTTATAAATCAGCAGCAGCATCTCAGAGAGAGCTGTGCAGTGTAAGAAAGCTATAACTCTCAGTTATATATATAGAGAATGAATTATCACAGTAAGTGTATATATATTATATGAAAGTAATACTTTTTAATAACACTCAGTCTCTGATATTATGAAAATAGAGTCTCTCTGTGAGATCTGTTTTTATCAGAAGTCAGAGAATCTTATATTTCTCAAGATCATCTTCACACATCTTGTCTATGAAATTAATAAGAGAAATCATTGATTTCAGCATTCTGTTCTTGATATTATTCAAGTGATAGCAGAGTTCACTCTGATCACACTTTTTAAGTATATATTTTCTAAATATTCACATTTATACAGATATGTACTGATTATTTATTAAATAATATTAAGATAATAACTTATCACAGCTGTGTTACTCTTACTGTGAGAAATATATAGTTGATAATAAATATTGCAAAGACTCTGAAGAGTAAGTATTTTAAAGATACTGCAGCTCTGTGATCTTGATTTTTTTTATTTTTATTTTTTATTTTTTTCTTTTTCTTTTATTTTTTTTTTCTTTCTCTTTTTATTTTTTTTTTCTTTCTCTTTTTTTTTTCATTGTGATTTTTTTTTTGTTTTTATTTTATTTTTTATTTTTTGTTTTTTTTTTGTATTTTATATTTTTTTTATAATTAAAATTATATGAATTATAATCTGTGTTCAGAAAAGTAATAATATTTAATAAAACTTTCTATTAAATTTTTAACAAATAAGTACTATGTTATAATATTATGTAAGTGAGAAGTGATTTTATAATCTTATTTAATATCATTCTCAATAATGAAATCAGAATGAAAATGTGACTAAGAATTCAAATATATTCTTTATCTAAGACTAGATTTTTATTTGAAAAGTGAATCTGAGATCTTTAATATTTGAAATAACATGATTTGAGATTAATGTGATGAATACAAATCATGATCAGAAGTAATGCTTTTAGATAATATAATAACTATAAAGTTTGATTCTGATCTCAGATACGGTCACACAGTCAGTCTACTGACTACTGATAATCAATCTGTAGTTTTTATATATTATTTAACAGTTCTCATTCTTGCTTCTTCATAAATTCTATTTCTGTTTTTAAAGTCTCAATATACTTAAGAGATTAAGTCTGTTTCTGCAAGATTTCTCTGACTTACAGTGAAATAACTCTCTATTATATAAAAGCAGACTCAGAATATAAATTTAAATAATCTTTTTTATTATTATTTCTGTATATAACTTCAAGTATAAATCTTATAAAATATATACTATATTTTATATTTATCTTCTTCATAAAGAAAAATAACAGAGATTTTATTCAATTATATAACACTCTTTCAATTGTTCAAGATTCAATTCTTATATTTTAAGTAAAATTAAAGTTAATTTAACTGCATTTTCTTAATAAGTTCTGACTTCTGTATAAACTTTATTTTTCAAAGATTTTCTTTATAAAGAATTCTTTATATAATTATAGAAAATATCTTAATTTCATTATTATTAAATTTATTAATAAGATCAGTACAGCTCTTTTCTCAATTATATTAATTATATTGAATTCTTGCAAGAATAGTATTTTTTATGCTATTATTTCTCAGAGTTAATTAATCAGATTTAAGAGCATCTCTAAGTCATTTATTATAAAGTATAATATACAGCAGTTGAAAGTTAAATTTACATTCAATTTCACATTTATATATATAGTTAATTTGACTCTGAGATTTGAGTAATTTCTGTGATTTCAGCATTTGACTTGTTAAAATAGAGTGATTTAAGAGTCATTATAAGAGCTCTTGTAGTAATATCAGTATTAAGTGCTATATTTTAACAGTCATAAATGATGAGAAATTAGAGAATATAGAGAAATCAATATAATAATCTCATATAAATAGAATGCAGAGTAATTAGAAGCTAAATGTAATTACTCATTAAAACATAGTGGTGTTTCTTAGCTGTATAAATTGAATCTGAGCAGCGCAATTCTTTTGGTAGCGCCCTCCATAGATCATAATAACAACCAACCACATACCACGTTCAACCTCTCTTACCACCCCGCAAATCTCAAGGCCTAACTAGGCTGTAAACTAGCCGCTGCAAGGATTGCAGAAGCTTTCAGGGGGGAAAAAAAGAAAAGGTTCCTGCTCCTTGACTCTTTCTCTGCAGGCAATTGTCGGACTGTATCATATAGATGGGTCCCTGCAATCAACTTTCCCAGTAATAATGGTATAGTATTGTCTTTTTTTTTTTTTCCTGTTATCTCTCTCTCTCTCTCTGTCTCTCCCTCTCTTTCTTTTTTTTTAATTTTTACATCTCAATTATTTACCATTCCGTGGCTGTCTCAGTTGTTAGTCAAGAGTGCACTCAGGGGAAGTCAAGGGACTTACCGTCCAGCACCAGCATTGATAGGGGTTCATCGTATAACCACACGCACAGTAATTCGTCGGATCATGAAACTGGTTTTAAATACAATTATTAGTCTTCAACTCTCGTGGTTTTCTACAACACCGGGCAGAATCAATATTTACCAGGGCCATGTCAAAACAAGACCAAGTCTGAGCACACTCCCAATCGTTTTGACACTGTTTATGGTATTAGTTCACTAGCATAAAAAAAAGGTCTACAGGGGACAAATTAAATGGCTACATACTCTAAGCGTAACTGCACACTCATCCCAGCCAGCCTCTCCATCCTTGGGAGTTTTCTTCGACCACTTACCAACAACGACGTTGATGAGGGCAAGCAGCGCAAGAGTAGACACTTTCATGTTGGTTGAAAGGTATCGATCAGCTAGACACTTCGTGATTCGATGAACGGACAAGTAACGATCCTGGAAGGCGGACAATGCTTGCTTGATGTCGTTCAACTCGACTTGAAAATGCAAAATGCCCGCTCCCAATGCTCCTTAATATAACCCGGAGGCATGACTCTTACCCCGCGCCACTGACCCTCTCGAGCAGAAGGAAACATGGAAGGCATCCGTTTAACATCGTGGTAACCCGCGGGCTCTTCCTGGAGAAATTGCATCCATTGCTCGACGGGTGTGCCAATGGCCAATGGCTCGCGCTTGGAGGAGAACAACTTACCAAAAACATTTTCAATCCCGCTGACCGCGAACCTTGGAACCCAAAACCCCGGAGCCGGCTTTGCCGCCCGCCCCCGCTAATCGAGTGGAACCGTGCGGGAGCAGTGGAGCCTCAAGTCTACGTAGTAACTAGTTAGCTCTAAACACGGTCAAAGAAAGTAAAACTTTGTCCGATCTTTGTCCGATATGAAGCGGTTACTTGTTGGTGACTTGCATCTGATTTACATGGAAGCTGCTACGTACTGTGTATAGGAAGGCACTTTGCCCACGGAACAGGCAAAGCTTTCTTTCTTTTGTCTTTTTTTTTTCTTTTTTTTTCTTTTTGCCACACGCCTAATCTTGGTCCGAGCACATCGAGATCACAAGATCACGATCACAAGATCGCGATCAGATCAACGAACACATCGAGATCACGATCCGATCACATTTCAAACGGGAATTTGATTGAACATACCCGGGGTCAAAAAGATGATTCTAGTATGTCACATTTACAAGTAGATAATGTAGCAGCGCCCGCCCCAGTGGCGTTGCCCGGTTGCCGTAGCGATCGCTCCGCCTGCACGTGATCTCATATCTCCTCCCACACGAATACAAGAGATTAACCATCCCACAGATAAAAATATATCTAAATATATAAAATATATATAACATGACTCACCACCTTGATTATAGAGCAAGTGATCACCAATTGATTCTGTGTTACATTGATGCAGTGGTTAAGATCAACAGGTCTCTAGAGCAGAGACAACATCAATCTACTGTCAGAATCTCACAGATACTGAAGAACAACATCTTCTATTTCATATTAATCAGTTATTCAATTGCAACTTCTCTGTGATATCTCAAATACTGTGCAATTTGATATTTCAGATCATCAAAATACAAGTAAAAATTAACTGAGTATTTCACTTTTGTAAGTGATATAAAGCAGAGATTAAGAGTATCTATCTTTATACTCTGAATTAAAAAAAAAAAAAAGTAGACAGATGACAGCTACTATTTTAAACACTTTTTTAATCTTATAATTGCAGGTTTTTTGTTTCTTTTTATATACAATTTCATGAGCGTTTTGCTAGATACTATTAAAACTGCAAATATATATATATATATAAAGAATATGAAGTTTTAATGTTTAATATATTAATGTTGTTATACTACAGTTGAAAATTAATCGCTCTATAGAATGCTTTTTGAAGTTCATTAACTTATATATATATATATATATAAAAGAGAGAAGGGTGAGAGGCGCAGGCGCTGAACATGGAATGGTCACAAGGTACAGTACCATGCGCCTCTGGGTATCTTGATTCCGGGAGATAGCTAGGGGGTGAGAAGGCTATGGAATATATTCTATGGAATTCTGTGCCCTAAAATTTTCGCAGGGCTTTATTTTATGTACAGTAGTATATTGGCGTATTTCAAGCTATGATATATGAGGGGTAAAAGTAAACGCTAAACGCCCTGGAGAGGTTGTACTCACTCAATATATTACTTTACCTACTCAGGTAAGCTATAGCACTTCCATGGACGCGTGTTTAATTTTTTTTTTTTTCCTCGTTGCGCTTAATGTTTGCCAGCAAGGTTTTATAAACAGTGACTTCGCGGTGTAACTTAACTTACCAGTTATTATTATGCCTCTACCATTAAATACACTAGCAAGCAAACCCTGGATGTTATTACGAATCGCACCCCTTCAGAAACGGGAGTTAGGTTTAAGTTATTAGTAGTTCATGGAAAGGGGGCGAATTTCTGATGTGAAGGGGTTCGGCCATTTATCTACCAGTTAGATAGATAGCCTGGTGGGGATTGAGTTTCCCTTTGCCCCAGTGAATTCAAACCGATTTTGTCAATGCACCCTATATGTTGACCTGCTTATTGAACTTATGTGCTGTACTGTACTAGCCGGAAAAGTATATGAGGCATATATCTAGAAACGATCGTCATAGAGGAAAATGCCCTATGGTTGATCTCCAGGGTTCGATGCTGCTTCTATGAAACCTTAAGCAGCGCGAATATTCTTGCAGGTAGCCTATTTGCAGCAAAGATTCGGCCACCGTTAAGTATCACGGTTGAGATGAGAATGAATAGAGGAGAAGGCTGATTGATGAAGCATTCCCATTGCAGAATAATAACCTAACAGTTCCAGGTGTTCTAATCGAGCAGAGAAGGGGAGGAAAATAAAGGAAGAGTCAGTACCGCTCCATCCTCATCTTCCTCCCCCTCTCACCAGGAACAAAAGGGGGCAATTAAATGCCTTAGGCACCAATCGATATATTTTTTTTGAAAAAAACCCCAACGTAGACCCCTTATTCAGAAAACTCTCAGCTCTCCTCGAAACAAAAGACAAAAGGGAAAAAAAAAAAAAAAGAGGTAAGGAGCGACAGTAGGAAACAACTCGGCGATTATCCACCATTAATTAAACCTCCCCCTTCCCTGTTCCATCCCGTCCCCGGTTCAGTCCACCACTCATCCGCAAGCACAAGCCTTCGTCGCGCGCATAGTGAAGAGGTAGAAGGCATGGGTAGCTGAGGAAAGGAGAGCGGCCTAGCAACCTGACCACAACACTCTATGGCTCTTCTCCCAAAGGGCGAGAAAAAGTAATTGACACCGTTCGACCGCGTATCATGTGGATCTCAGGAGAAAAGTGACTTGTCAAACGCTGCGACCATAGTGTGATTGCATTTAGACATCGATGAAGGTTACCGGCTGCTGCAAGTTGGCAGAGCAGGATTGGATCTATTTGGGGGTGAAAAAGGATATTTATATTAGTATTTGCGTGCTTTCATTGGAGAAGTCGAACCAGTAACATGTATGTGGTAGGTTGCTGAAGTTTCCGAGACTGGATGAAACTTACTCCTTCGTTGTTGTTGCAGCAGACAATCAGACTGTTGCAGCTGACAGAGCTGCCTTCCATAGCAGTGCAAGTAGTTCCGAGGGTGCTTTCAGGGGCGCAGCAGAAGGGTCCGCCCGAAGAGCAGGAGATTCTCTGGAAGACTGGGCCATCGGGGCGTGTTGGACGTGCTGGGCGCGATGGGCGACGGCCGGGGGTGGCAGCAACGCTGGTGGCGAGCAGAGCGACGATGGCGACGAAGTTGGTGAGCTGCATTTTGGTGGTTTGGGGGTGTTTGATTAAGAATGAGATTCTTAAAAAGGTTTTGAAGATTTGATACTGATTGGAAGTAAGTCTTGAGATATCCTTTTGATGCCTTGATGATGATGAGAAGAGAAGAAAAAAGGACATTTGGATGGGAAGGAGAGGTCTATTTATGCGTTTTCTGAGGCCTGCATTTCTCTATCCCCTTCATCATGCCCCCCGATGAAGTGCTGGACGTTGTTGGTTGGCTCGTCTCGTCCTTGCAACCCCTCCTTCACGATCATACTTCAGGGTCAGTAGAGCCTCACTTCGTCGAATTGGAAAACGCCCTGGCGCATCCACGATAACGCACAGCGAGTGTCTCGCCTGTCGCCTCGTGGCTGATATGCTGGCGAAGGCAGACTGTGTGGCGAGAATCTCAGTTTCTGTTCTCACCCTGCTGAATGTTCCGGCCCCTTTTCCTTGTACATGAATGTGGTAACACTTGACCATTCCCACGAGCCGATGGCGTTAAGGTTGTGCAGAATAAGTGGTGTCTATATTTAAAATAGAATTGGGGTTCGGTCAGGGCTTGATCGTGTCAACTTCACACAAAATTCCTTAGAGAAACAGCCAAGCGACAAATGGCGTTCAGGCCAGGCGACGAGTGTGCACTTCCGGCATGGCAAACCTATCCTTGATTGCAAGCTGAGTGGAAAAACCAGCGTGGCTGGTCAGCTCCGGATACAAACAAAAACTGACCCAGGCCCACGGGAATTGTCAGGGCTGAGGATATGAGAATTCAAAATCGGTTTGCTGGCAAACCCCACGGGCCAATCATCCGTAGAGGGGGCGTTAAGGTCAGAGTTTTTCTTCCAAATCGTGAGGCTTTTGAGGCTCAGTTCAAGAAATGGCGCGTGATGAGCTGTACCTTTGGAGTGGCAGGATACTCGCCTAAGATTCGCAAATCAGAAACGAACGTGCAACACATTGCGGTGGAGACTGGGATAGATGAAGATATAGATATCCCAGGGGATAGAAAAATAGGCCCTTGAAGCTGGCAGCTGCAGCTGAACAGTAACACAACGAAGCCGATTTGGCGGACTCTTAGGAGAACTGCAAGCCATTTAACTCCATTTAACAACACATGAAAGTATATCCCCCCTCGCCAGAACCTTTTGAATGCACATATGAGCACCCTAGATCGGTTGTTGACAGTCTCCAGCGGTGAGATACCAGCTATCTAGGAGTAAGAGAGAACCAACTGGACGCAAAGAAACGTGAACGACACTTCCAAAATATTTTCCAATTAACCCATTATCAATATCATGGAGGATGAAAAATAACCGCCAAAAATGCGATAATAATTCGTCCTGGTAGTCAACTTAAATGTTTTGGTGAGGCTCAATCGAAGCCAATCAGCAACGAAGTGGACATTTAGTTTCCCGCTAAGCCCGCCGATGGTCCAGACCCCAAGAACACAACATCCAGACAAGCCTGGAATTAGCTCTTGTCTTACAGCTTTTAAACCTGGACCAAGCGGCAGTGAGCCACACGAAACTTTCAAGCATTCCCCATTTCGATTTGCAAGTCAGGAACAGGATACTTAGGCGAAAAGGATGTCCAGATGTGCCACTGTCACCCCGCAGCTAAAAGATTCCGGGGTTGATGTATCACAAACGGTGACAGGCTACTTCACTTCAGCTTGGCGTACGACAAACAGCACGCCTGGGTGCGGAAAGTCTGATCCCGAATGGACTGGCCAGGTAATAGTTCGAACTGCAGCGTTATGTAAAATAAGAAAAACAACATGGAGGAAATTATTTTTTTCCAGCCCCAAATAAAATGGGAATGCAGCTGCGATAAGACGTAAGATTTCATTAGTCCGGGAAATTCTCACATGGCCCAGCCAGGCTCGATTAATCGTGGGATGATCGTATTGAAGCCTCTCACTGAAAGCCATATCGACTCTGGGAGGCTTTTCATCTCAGGCTTTTTGCGTGCCAATGGAGAGAAACCGATGTCTCAAAGTAAAAGTGGCAAAAGCCCTAAAACAAGACAGCGAATGACAACCTCCGACCCTCGTCCTATATTTAGCTTCTCCACACGAAAGGCCGTGGGTTGTGCTAGCTCATAATGGCTGTCGATGTCTGCCTTTGCTTGCAGAGGACGAAGAAAAAAGGATATCAAATGTGACGAAAAAAAGTAGGCGGAGGGCTTGGTACAAATTGAGCCCTCTTGCCATTGGAAAAAAAAAAAAAAAAATTAACAAAAAAAAATTTGCCAATCCTTCTCCATCGCTTCCCTTCTACCTCAAAAAATTTTCCGCCTATTTTTTTTACGCTGGGGAATAACCTTTCCACCGCGACGATGAAGCTCATTCAGACCTCTATCTTCCTCTCTATCTTCATGCTGCTGACGCAGTCTATTGCTATCCCCGTGCCTGACCCGGTTCCCGCTCCGAAGGATGGCGACGTTGCTTTGGCGGAGAGAAGATTCCCGAAGCTGCCAGGGTTCGGATTGCCAAAGGAACTTTGCCCGCAGCCCCCTCCGCAGCCCCCTGTCCAGCAAACGAATCAGTGCTCCACCGGTGTCCCGTACTGCTGCAGCACTGAAGGAGGGTGTAAGTGCTCAAATCATAAATACCCTCCCGAGGAAAGCGGCCTCAAGCGGCGACAATGTTTTGCTAACCAGTCCGCTCCTCTAGCCCACAACTGTGTGAACTCCCACGTCGAATGCACGCAAACCGTTATTTGTTGCAACAACAACTTCGGGGTAAGTAAACACATGAGATGCACCCCCTCATATCAGTCGATATTTCGTATTTTCAACAGGCGGGCTAATACCACAAAAAACAACCTTCAGTTCCAAGTGTGCATGGGTGACATCGACTTCAACATGCCGATCAACATCGAGATTAACCTTTAAGCTGTTTCTCAGTAGCACACACACACGCTCAGTGCGTGTGGTCTGTGCGTCGAGATCCGAAGATGGGAGGGAATTGCTGAGAGTTGGTTCAAGAAATACTGAACGGATGCTAGGGGAATGGGTGATAGCTTCGTTCAGATTTCGACTTCCTTGGGCCTGGCTGTTGGTGTAGCTTTCGCGGAGATTTTATTATTTATATAATCTTGCATCGGTAGGATGGATAACCTCATCAGCGCCGAAAAAGGTTTCCTTTGTTTTTCAATCCGATTTGGTTGTTTAGTTTCCAAGGTCCCCAACTCTCTTTACCATTTTGCGTTCTTCTTTCGGTCTGTAATAGAAGACTCGTTCTTTTTTGGACCTTCTCCCGCTCTCACCCCCCCAGAGATTCTTTCACTTCTTCCTCATATGTCTCATCAGTTAGCCATTCCTGTCAATTTTCGAGAGGCAAATGAGAATCACTTTCTCCCCGAAATTTGTTCCATGGCATTTCAAATTCCGTCAGAAAATATTTCTCAGCTAGTCGGAGGGGGAAGATCATTCATTTTGCAGATTTCCCTTCACACATCGTGATTCAAATGCCATTTCGACGTCTGCGGTTGTCTCAAACCGCTATCCCCAGTTTCTATTCGTCCCAGAAACCAGAAATGTGCGCATGAGCATCAGTAGAGCGGCCCTGAATAGTGCAAATCAATCCCTATAAAAATGCGTAAAAACAAAACTGCCTTCCCGTGACAATACAAATGCTATGGCATGCATTGCATGCATTGGAAAGGAGGCAAAGCATAGCCAGGAATGCCGTCGCGTAAATCTCCCTTTCCGACTGCCCTGTGTGTTCCAACGGATATGGCCCCTCACGATTTCTTGAACTCACTCCCTTTGGAACGTCTGTTCCATTCCCCCATCCTTAGCATATTTGCAAAAAACGAAAAAATCGTATATGAATCACTAGTTCCTTGTATTGGGAGAGACGTTGGGGAGTTTCATCTCTATATTCATATATCCCCCCCCCAAAAAAAAAGTGGAATCCTGCAAAAAACAAGACAAGGTCGAGCCATATGGGCTGGGGGGTGAATCTTCCACCTCCCCCCCCCCTCCTTCGAATGCGAAATGCCTTACTTATCGCAATCCACCGACTGTAATCGACATGTTGTATTTAAAAGTTGGAAAAATTAGTTGGAGAAACAAACAAAAAGGTTCGAACGAAAGCTGGTGCCAAGACCGAAACAAATCCAACTGCTTATTAATCACGGTAAAACTGTTGGCCGTTGCGGCCGTTGGTGTATACAGAAAACTTGACCTCGCTAAGTGCGCCACTTGACCTTGTTACATAATCATGACCCTGACCTCGCACAATCTTGGAGGATAACGTTGTTGTGTTGTGTTGTAATCTAACTACGCGAGTTACACTAATGGATAGGTTGGGGTGGCACGTGACTAGGGTAGGTGTAGTAACCGGAAAAACGTAGGCTTATTATATGACCGGGTTATGGTTGTTCCGCCATGCCAGTCGCCGACACCATCGCCGAACTGTAAAATATAATATAATGGTGGATTAGCCATGGAATCACTGTAAATGAGTTATGAACAGAACAAAATCATCATTGTATTAACAATATTATCAATTCCTATCTATATAATTACTAATTCTAAAAAACATTTCATTCACTGAAATCATTCTCTATTGAAAATCTATTATATTTCTTTATAATTTTTCTCAGATTCTCTGAATTATCTCTATATTATTATCATTATTTTCTGTCATATTCACATTAATATTTATTTCAGAGAACTTATAAATTGATATTAGAGTTTATAAAGAGTCAGTATCAATGATTATTTATCATTTAAGAGAGAGAGTCTTAGAGAAATTAGAAGCTATGTATTTATTTATCTATATTATTATCAACTTCTATATAAATCTGAGAATTATTTTACTAATTCTAACTTACTTTTTCACTGAGAATGTCAAGAGTTTCAGTGCTGCTTATAGTCAGAGAATCAATCAGAGTTAGAAGATTGAAGAAGAAAGAAGAAAGAGAATCAATAGCAGTAGTAAAAATATTAGTAAGAGAGATAAGAAGAGAATTATTATTATTATTAAATTTCTCATCACTACTACTACTATTGCTGACTATAACTGAATTCTTATCAAGATAATCTGTGAGTCTCTGAACATGTTTCATTATTTCATATATTTTAATAGTAATATAGCTAGCTTCAGTATTAATATTATTTATTAAATTTATAAGATTCTTTATTATTAATTTTTATTCTTTAATATAACTAACTATTATTCTCAAAAGCTTATAATATACTTTAAGCTTGATAGTTTCAATATCAAGTTTTATCTTTTTAATTATAATTTTCTTCTTTTCTGCAGTAACTTTTTTCTTTTCAATTTCTAATTTCATTCTTTCAATATTCAACTTAATCTTCTTAATCTTAATTTTAGCTTTTTCAGCAGTACTGATGATAATATTCAGAGCTTTCAGAGCAATAGTGATACTTTTTATATATTAAGCTTTCACTTTCTGTTAATAAGTTTTAACTTTTTTAATCTATTTTAAAAGATTCTTCACTGATTTCAATATAGCTCTCTTTATTATTTTCTTAAAATTATTCAATATAGAAAGATAAAAGTCATGAATTTGAATTAGATTATTGTGGCGGGCTGCGCCCGATCAATTATATAGACTATTCCGTACACTTCATAGATTCCTACCGCCCCATTCCCGATCGCCGATCCTCGGCCGCCACGAACGTGTATGTTCCGATCACCGATCCTCGGCCGCTATGAATGCGTGTATATTCTTCCACCCTGAAGCATCACTGTGTACACCATCACATACATGTATAAATATTCACTTCAATTGCTGATTCTCACACTTTCTCTTTCTTTTCTTCTCTAATGTTTTTCTCTTTGTTATATAAGATCTATCAATATAATACTGATCTATTCAGCATAGACCTCTTATACTAGAAAAACATTTATTATCTTCTTATTAGAAAATGATTATTCATGCATTATCTTCTTATTAGAAATGATTATTTATCAAGAGATACTCAAACATGTAACAATATGTAAGAAATAGAGAAATAGTCAAATAGTTAAATAAACACTGAGTCTTCAGATAGTTCTCAGATAGAAGCTTGCTTATCAGTTACTCTAACTTTATAACAAGATCTTACAAAGAGAGTAAGATCTTATAAGAGAATATCAGTGAAAGATCTGAGAGTTCTGACATTCAGATATATAAGAATATAATTACACTTCTTCAGATTTCACAGATATCATACATCTGATAATCAATATAATCATGTCTAATGATAATATGAAACTCTTAAATATAAGTATAGATGTGATATCACAGTGACTCTGAACAATGTTGAAATTACAACAGTAATAGATAGCTGATATGCATGCAACTCAACAACTTCAATATAAAGAGATTTAATAATTAACTCATACAATTTCAACATTTACAGAATTAAGTATAAAAGTACTGAAAGAACACTTAGATACTTCTGTATATTTCAATACTTCTGATCTCACTCTCTACTCATTATAAAGAATGAAAATGCTTATAAAACTGAGTATAGATGAAGATATCATCAGTTCATTAATTAATCAAGATTAATATATTAATGAAAGATTGAAAGATTGTATAAAACAGAAGTTTCATTCATGAATGAAAGCATGTAAATCAGTATTATAAATATCTGATAATATTATTAAATATCTTGATATTCTGTTTCAAGACACTGTTATATAATAGAAAGTATTAAATTGATTACAGAGTATCTAACAGAGAAATACTTCTCTTATAACATTTATTCCTGACTTCAATATTAAAATTCTAGAAGTAGAAGATTAATCTTGAGAGAATTAAATAAAGATTAGTATACTTAAGAAGATATTAACTTTCAAACTCTTACAGACTCTTGTAAGTGTAGACAAAGATCAGACTTATAAAGACTTCTGCATACAGCTCTGAATATTGAATAATCATCTTATCAAGCTCAAGAGTATACAGAACAGTGATAGAAGATATTACATCTCAGTGACTTATACACTCATACTGAAGAACAATAATAATGCAGATATTATGAATTGAGTAGACTTGAATATCTATATATAAGTAAGAGTCTTCACTGTCTGAACAGGCTTTTAAGTTTCTGATATCACTCTCAAAGAAGTTGCTGATCAATGTCAATGAGAAGTATACATTAACTGTAACTAATCAGAGTACATTGCTTTTAACTGCTGATTAATCTATATATCTTCTCAATTAAGAGAAAGATTGATGTCTTCTTATTTAAAAGATGAATCAGCATCTGTCTGCAGCAATCACATTACAGTGAAGAAAGATTCAGAAGATAACTATAAAAATATTCTGATAAAACAGAAAAAAGATTAGCTTCTGTTCAAATTTATAAATAGAAGCTTGAAGAGATTAGATAATAATAATTTAAAGAGAAAATAATAATAAATGTAATTCTTATATCTACTGTGATTGATAATATGTATAATATAAAAGTCATGATAGACAGCAGTCTATACTACTATATAATGATAAAATCTTTAGTCATAAAATATTATAATCTTCAGTGTATTTCTTTATCAAAACCCTGACTTCTCACAGAATTTAATAATTCAAAGAATGTTTATATCTGTTATATAGTGAAACTAAACATAGATGTAAGAGAATATTAATATGAAGATATCTATACATATAAAGTTAATAATTTCAATTATAATCTTATATTAAAACTTATCTGACTATCTGAACAAGACATCTTACTGAATACTTAAAACAGAAGCTTGATATTCTCTAATAATAACAGAATTCACAAAGATAATATTCACAAGACTATGAATCTTACACAGATCTCTGTCAACACTTATAAAATACTCTGAAAAAGAAGTCATCATCAAAATTATTAATAGAGTCACTGATAAGTTCACTGATAGCAGAATTATATATCAATCTATTCTGTCAGTCTAGCTGATATTAAAAAGACTCTAGAAAAGTTATCTCATATTATAATAACAGATTCTTATACAAAACTCTCTTAATAATATTATGAATATCTAGATGTCTTCTGATAAGATAATATTATAAATATACTTCTCTTACAAGGTTCTGAAGTAAATCACAGTATCAAGTTAGAGAAAA